CTGCTTTTTTAAAACAGCAACAACAAAAACAACCTCTTCCCAGTAGGAGAATTCTGTCACGTAGCATTTGAATATAACAAAACAGGATCCCGAGTCAGGCTGCTCAGGCAGGGATTCGTCTTCTTAATCACCATGGAAAGTAACCTGGACAAGATGGGGGGGTTTCACTGATTGGTTTCCAGGGTATGTTTCTGGTACAGCCTGGTGTAGAGGTTGAGGTGCTGGACTAGGAGTGAGGAAATCTGGAGAGAGAGAAAGAAGTCTGGGCTGTCTGTCTGATTTATTGTTTTTAGCTGTTTTTATGTTTTCTTCTAGTTTTGTACACCGCCCAGATACATAGATCGTCATGGAGAAAATCTATCTATGTGGTTACTAGGAGTTGAAAACAACTTGATAGCACATAACAAATCAGTCATGCCACCGAGAGTCTACTAGAGTTTGGCGGCCAATATAAATAAATAAATAAATGTGTGAGAAAGAAACTTAAAATCACCTCACCTTGATCTTATTTAGTATAGGAGAGGACAGAGAGAAACTTGGAAAGGCTTTCAAGATTCAGTTATTCTACCTTACTCCAGGTAGTCCTTGCTTAGCAGTTGCCTCATTTAACAGCCATTTGAAGTGATAACGGTGTAAAAAAAAAAAAAAAGCTTTGCGACCAATCCTTGCATTTACGACCGTCACAGCATCCCGGGTCACATGATCCCCATTTGCGTGCTTCCCAACCGGCTTGTGACAAGCAGAGTTGATGGGGAATGCAGAAGTAAAATCACAAGTCGCGGTCACGTGATGTCTTGCTTAATGACCAAAGGGGAAGCAACGTCAAACATCCATCATGGTCACATGATTTTCCGGCTAGCAACCATGGGGGCTTAGCGATGGAGTTGCCAGTTCCATTTGTAGTCGCTAAGCAATGACTACCTGTAGCATAAAGAGCATTCTTACCAAGCCTTTTCTAAACCTAGCCTATCTCAAATGGCTGGCATTCCCACAGTTTTGGAGAAATGGGAGAAAAAAACTGAAAAAAGCAAACCAGACTATGCACTGGGCCTACAGGTAGATGCTTCTCTGTAAAAAAAGGGCCCTTCAAAACAACAGCTTTTGCCCATCTGCTCTATTGACGTATCACCCTGGCAACCTCCCCAACCCGATGGCCTCTAGACAGGCAGGAATTGTGTAGGAAGATGGTCTTCCTCAAGGGGGAAGACAGGCATCTTCTCCACCTGCCTCCTTTTCTCTCTGCCATCCCGTCTTCCTTGTTCCCAGCTTCGTGTCCAGTGGCCTTCCCGTAAAACTCATGACCAGATCTTGCAGTCACGGTCACTGTTAATGTGTGCTGCATTTACAATAATTAGGCCTATCCATGCTGATTTTTATCAAAATGACCAACAAGAATTCTCTCTTCTCAGTGGATGGGGAAGGGAAGAACGCCTGCTTTTTTTAATTGTTCGACTCTTTGCAGAGATGAAACACGCAGGAAAATATATGCCATCATTTTGTTTTATGGCAACATCCCTTCTGGGAAATGGCTGCCAGCCACTCAGAAAGGAGACCAACCATCCGGGAAAACAGGAAGTTTTAATTCCGTTTTTGCAGCTTAAGCAAAGGTTATCGTGAGCAAAGCCTCTGTCAAGCAGCAAAGAGAGACCACACAGTTTACAGTAATCACAGAATCTGGATTTGTCTTCTCATGGCCTCAGGGGAACTTTCTCTTAGCCTAGGCATTCTCCAAATGTGGGGCCTGGGACCCCCAGGATTCCCCCCAGTCTCTGAGGACACCCAATTTGGGGAAGAGGGCTTTATAGCAGAGATTTAGCAACCTCAGCCAAAGTCCATGGATACCTTACTTTGTTCCAACCACAACCAACACAATCTGACTGAAATGTATTGTTAGATGGGTCAAAGATTTGAAGCAAAGAAACCACATACCTGAGAATGAAAATGCTTAATGCAGTAAGGAGCTTCTTAAGCAAAGCCACCGTCATCATTCAGAAATGAAGAGTGGTTCCTCTCTAGGCAAAAAAGCAAAGCCCATGGGACACAGTACTGAAGACCAGAAGATCATTTCAGGCGTTGTTCCTATAACAGCCTCAGACAGATGTTAGGTCTCCAAACCCCACCTAGTGCTCAGCTTTAGATATTTCTGAGAATCTTCCTCACAGAGAGCTATTACTGAGTGGCACGCATACTCCCAAGGAGACCTCTGCTTTGGGGCCTTCCATAGGCACATACACATCACGTGACTCCCTAGGATTGTAATCTCCCATACCAGCACTCTCTAGAACTAGGGAGGAATCCACTCAGGATCCAGTGGATCACTTAATAACTGCTTCAGAAGAGACCCTCTTGATATCTCTTACTCTCAGGATCCTACCTGTGAGTGTTGAATCTTTCTTGAAAGAAGAAAGGGAAAAGGGAAGGTTCCCATTCATCCCTCCTTATGCCCAGTTTTAGCACCACTCCCAACCAGTATATAGGCCCCAATGGATTCCATTCATGGAGGATGAACTTCCACAGGTTTGCCTTATTGAGCCAAACTCCCAAGAACTTCAAACTGGAACCCATACACACATTAGATTTTCATCTGCTATGGAGTCTTTGCTTCCTTTCATGGAGCGTAGTCATTCTCTGCTAACAGCAGGATCTTTTTGGAGGTGACTCCCAAGAAATATCTCTATGTCAGTTGCAGCTGGGCATTTTCTTAAATCTATGTAAATAAATAAACAAATATATCTGATCTTTATGCCTTCAACCTTCCAGATATTCACACAATTCTCCCCGTTCTACATAGTTTTAAACTAGGAGTTGCAGAGGGTGGCAATGATATCTGTGCTTCTAATTATCAACAAATAGTTCTTGCAAGCTGTGGTTTTCTGAAAAGCAGCCTATGAGTTGTGCAAAGCAATTAAAACCACTACCTTTTTCATCTACAGCCCAAGGCTATGTTGGCAGGAGATCTTGAGAAGTCCTACGCATCTGGAGAATACCAAGTTAAGATGACTTCTGAAGCATTCTTAGAAATCCCATACGGCATAATCCTCTCACTTCCGTTAAGGATTATGGCTGCCAATCAACGGATTAGCAAATGTTATCCTTGAACATTCTCAAAAATACAGTGAAGTTGGGCGGGGCGCCTCTGCATAAGTTGGAAAGGTTGACCAGAAATTCCTACTTGCTGTTTCGCCACAGACCAGCAGATGACAGCAACAACACACCAGTCAGGTTTGTTCTGCCCTGATTCCAGCACAGAAGAAATAACCATTTCAAAGAATGTCCTAGCCACTAGCCAGGTCTCAATCGGTATTACTAACAAGCGTTCTTCTAGCCTTCCCTCAAGACAGTAAAAGATAATTCAATAAACAAACACTTGTGCTTAAGATCTCTTTAAAGCTTGTGGTTATTGATTTATGGCAATCTTGGTATCTTCCAAACATGTTGGAACTACAGCTGCCAGATGCTGATTAAGAATTGCAACGCCAATACTTATGCGAGGCACCATCCTGAAGAAGCTGCCTTGAAGTCCTGCACTGGTTTTAAAACAGTGTTGCAGGATAATGAGCAGTGGGGCTCTATTTGGGCTCATGAATAGCTTTAGTTCATTATGAAAATCAAAGCAGCAGCTGTAGCAGAATTCTCACACAGGTTGATTTGTGGGTGTCAGAGGGAAAACTCTTCCACCACCTCATCCTACATGGAGACAACCTTCAGGAATAGCACAAGTGGGCAATTTGAGACTTTGGACTGTTAGAAAAGGCGCTGAGGAATGTATTTAAAGGTCATGATGACTCTTGCTTTATTTCAAAATGGGGCAAGCAAGCGGTGCTGTTTTCTATGGCCCCAGATGCAAAGGCGTCCACAGGATTGGGTCAAAAAAAATCAAGATGGTGGCCACAATAGTGTGATCAAAGCTCCACCCGTTTTTTATGTGTGGTGCACATGCAAAGCAGGCATAGCTTTGATTGCACCATTGCAGTCACCGCCTTGACTTTTTGACCACCCCCCTCCCCAGAGGTCTTGCTCTACTCTGTCACAACCTTAGTTAACTGGAGAAGAGGCCTAGTTTCTCTCCCTCAGTCAAGCCCAACTCTTGGGACATTCATTGATACTTCCATGC